GTTCCACTGCAGAGATGAAGGTTGTCTGCAAGAAAACAACAGATTATTAAGCTAAATGACAGGTTTTATAGCTATTTATTGTTAACTTATCTTATTGAGCGTGATGGTTTTTTTCATTCAAATGTCTTTTTAAATAGTCTTTAAACTTTTACAGTTTTCACCGTTGGTTTCCACTCCCCTGTTGTATGGTACAGCCCCACTCACTCCTACTGAGTTCAAACTTTTGGCGGACAGATGAAACCATGGCAGGTTGTCATGTTCTGTGTTTCTTCTTTCTGCTGGACATCTTTTCCAAAGGTGASAGGCAATCAGTCAATACAATCAATCAATATGTGATTGTAGTTTTAAAGTAGATAAATCAGTCTTATTTCCACTTATTAGCTGTGTAGTTTATTGACTCTCTGATCAAACTGTCAGGTTTTTTAAACAGTAGGGTTGTGCAAAATCATAATTAGTTGTCAGAAAACTGTTGCAATTATTATTTGCATTTAATGCTGCATGATTATGACAGATCTTTGTATGTGACACACTCACGATCAAGTGTGAATGTGATCCTATAGGCAGGGCAGAGCAGTTAATCCTAACTCCATGAACCACCTGAAACACCTACATAAATAAGGAAAGTCAGAGAATGTGGGCCAAGGCTACATCAGCTACAACAAACTCTCCTTGTAGGAATAATAAGGGTTTGGACTCAAATAATAACTAAAGAATTTATTGAAAACAAAATAAAGGCTGGTGATGCAGCAAAAATAAGAACACAAGGACAAGAAAGGAACAAGGATCCAGAGAGTAGCTAATTATAAGAAAGAGACCTGTTAAATAAGGCAAGGCTGAGTGGAAAATGGAAAGCACCTGGGTGATGACTGAGTACAGACAGGTGTGCTGAGAGACAGACCTGACCGAGGAAAAAGGTGGAGCCTGAAGACACACAACACAAGAGGGYGACAGAAACACAAGGCAGACTAACAGTTAAACATATCTACTCAGCTGAGAATCTATTATTCACTCAGTTAATAAGGAGATAGTGCGGGCTGTGGCTGTTAAAATGAAGAAGTTAGTTTAACTGATGATTTATAATTTTAAAACACAGAGTGACTGATTTAGAGTCAAAACCATGCATGCACAGCTTTCATCTAAAACAGACTCATATTGATCCTTATTGTATAAATGTCATCAATATTTTTGATTAATTTATTTTCCAACATCACCCAACCTTCATAAAGAGTTAACCTGATCTCCATCCAGATGCAGCAGGTGTGATTCAAACAGAGCAGACTGTGCTGGCAGCAGTAGGAGGTCAAGCCTCTCTGACCTGTCAGCTCGCTGAATGTAAAGAAGTCGTCCAAGTCACCTGGCAGAAGGTCCTCCCTGARGGTGAGAAGAACCTCGCCACCTTCGCCAAAGGCTTTGGTCCCAGTATGAACTCTGATCTGAAGATGAAGGTGGATTTTCACTACAAAGATCTGAAGAACTGCTCGTTGGTGATCAGGAAGGTGACAGAGCAGGACGAAGGCTGCTACCGCTGTTTGTTCAACACCTTTCCCCAAGGAGCTGTGATCGGCAGAACCTGCCTCAGACTTTATGGTGAGACTACGAGCTGAGCATCAAACACGTCTAACAGGTCTTTAGATTCTGGTGAAACATGACGTCTACAAACTTTTCACTACATCTATGTGACGGGACAGCAGACTGCCTAAAGGAGTTTGTTATATTCTAACTTTTATTTAATCAGATAAAAGCCTCATTGAGGTAGACAAGCTCTTTTTCAAGAGGGACCTGGCAAGATAGCAGCACCGTTTAAAAATATCAACATTTATATTCAACCAGAGAAATAAATTCATTTAGTTGTAGAATATCAAAACTTAAAATAACAAAAACAGTTGGTAAAAAACATGACTATGAAAAGTAAAGACAGATTTGCAACAGTAGACCAGATGTAACAGAATGTGTGGTCAGAAAACATCCTCTGAACCTTTAGGAAAAGTTCCCTAAAGTTCTTAAAAAGGAGACATCGGTCAGTTTTGGGGAATATTTAGGAAACTTTTTCTGAATWGTGTTTTGGGAGAAACTGAAAAAAACTTTTAATATTAACTGTTAGTCACTTGAAATGCTCCAACGCCTTCGACAACTGTTCACTTATTTCTTAAATTTTGCAATCTAAACTCTTTAAATCAAATTTCATGTAGCATTAGACAAACCCTTGCTTTAAAAAATCCTTGGCATTTAATAACGTCCAATAAAACAGCTGATGTTCTGTTATCCTTTCAAGCCTTTTAAACAGTTTATCACCTTCACATTTAGTTTTGTGTCACCTGTTTAAAGGTTTTGGCAAAAGTCAGAGAATATTAATTGCTTGGATAAACTTTTCAAATCTCCCCCCAAGTATTTCTTCAAATTTCWGTATAAAATTGCTTACAACACCACCTTCACTGAAATTGATGCTGGTGGTTTACACACACTATTGATGAAAGTTCAGTAACTAATGGATGAGAAGCAGAGATTGCAGCAACAACACACAACAACAYCTACTAAAGCTGTATATCTGCTACCTAACACTTCTATCAAAACACGGTGCAATTTATTCTTTACCTGCTTGGCGTCAGAAACCTGTGTTTCATGCCTGGTGCAAGCTCACTGCTGGATCTGACTCAAAGTTTTGTCAAGACCCAAGGCCACCCGAATTCTGARTGACTTGTAGTCTGGTTGAAAATTAAACTGTTTCTCATCCTGAGAAATGTTTGCTAAATCTTGCCAAACCCAAAATGGGGCATCAAGAGTGCTGAGCTGCAAGGTGAAGCTCTCMGTTTAATCATCTGTCTTCATTCCTGCCTTCAATTATTGTCACAAACTCTGGATAGTGACAGAACAACACAAGCAGTTGAAGTGTGTTTTCTCCACAGGGTAACTATTGTTTTATAGAGAAAGTGTGAGAAGTTCAGTTACCTGGGAGGGGCTCGAAGTAGAGCCTTAGCTCCTCAACATTGAGGGGAGACAGTTGAATTGGATTGGGCTTCATGTGAGGATAACCCCTGGATCAGGGGTATCACTAGGTTTTATGGACAAGGGGGGCTTAGCCCCCAGGAGACGCACAGCATTTTTGTATATTATATATTTGCATTGTATGTGTTA